GTGATGTTGTGATCTGTGCTGCAAGAACGGTTCTTTTGTCCCATCACTGATGGGTTTTTTCATTCCTTTCAAAAAACGACCTCCTTGCTTGCTAGTTGTTGCACCTCGTTTGCTACAGAATGAGCCATGTCTGTGGATGGATCTAATCTCCTCAGGCTTATGTTCAGACTGCTTACAGTTGCTTTTCTGCCACGGTTCAGGTCCTGAAGAGGAGTACTAGTGAGAGCAGTTAGGAGCATGCCATTCTCATTGGTTCTACCCAGTGCCTGCCCCAGAACAGGTGCAGTCTGATGAAATGTGCCTAGGGACTCAAGAGAGCCTGTTTTATGAAGTTCTGCCATTGCCATGGGGCCACAGCGAGCCTTCTGGTCATGGTTGGGGCTGATGAGTTAAAAGGTCCTTGGCTCTACTCAGGTGAATCCCCATGTTTCATCAGGGACATCCAGATTCTTGCTTGAGGAAGATGCTCACAGTAGAATAGGAATATACTTACAAGGGACATTGCCTGAGGTCAGACCAGTTCTTACTGAAATTGGTGATGAAACTGACGATTTTGTGAGGTGTTCTTAACAGGCAGGGATTAGGATGCAGTTGAATCTACATTATCTGTCTACATTATATAGAGTATGACACCAGCAAATCTTGTGGGAGAGATGTAGGTCTCCGAACTGGTGTAATATGCTGGAGTAAAACCTATTCTTGCTGTTACTGCACGCACTCCAGACTATTGGGATCTTCCAACCTGAGCTGGAGTTCAGATTGCACAGGGAAAGTTCTTGCACTCAAGTTTCCATTGGAGCCTTTCCTTCAGTGGATGCTTGCCTTGACGTATCTGAGCTGATATTTGATCCCTAGGGATGAGACATGCAGTTTCCTTACTATTTGCAAAGTTCTTCAGAGTGAAAATGCATTGTTGCTGCTGCTTGTAAGAGTGTGTGAAGCCATCCTAAATCCCCTGTATCTAAGACCTGCCGTACATGTGAAATGCCCTGACCCAGAAGGCTCCTGTCCCAACAGAGGGTGTCGTTTGATCAAGCCAATAATTTTAGTGTATGACTCAAAGCCAAGGACACACTGACCCACTGTAAAAAACCTGTGAAGGTATTGCACCCATAGGTGTTGAGACCATGGGTTTGGTATCGCTGTTAAAATAGTTGTCCTTATTAGAGGCTAAACCTTCTGCCTGGAAATAACAGTTCTCCTTTTCTTGGGACGGGGTTGAATGCTTGCTCCGTGAAGACATGTTTATTAGCTTGCCTCCCGAGCTGTCTTCCAGAAGTAGGATGTGGGGAGCAATGTCCCCACAGAGTTTCAAGTTGAGGAATGCAGTATACATGCACTAAGTAAGATGATAGGACAAGGTGTGCAGGAGGTTTAGTCCTTAAATCAGAGTATTTTTGTTTGTTTGTTTGTTTGCTTGTTTTTTTCCCAAGGAGAGTTGGTTTTCAACAGAAATTCTAAGATTTCCTGTATTTGGGAGCAGGCTGACTGAGCATGTGACACTTCCACCGGAGGCATTTCCTTCACAGGAGGGACCAGTGAAGTTTGATTTGGAACAGATGCATTCCTGTGCGGGCAGCTAGGTGGTACCAGAGGGGCCCTCTGCAATTTTCTTCTGTGTTGATTGATCGTTCTTCATTCACTGAAGACACGTATAGAGTGGGTAAAACCAGCTAATGATGTTTAGCTTGTGAGCGTGATGGTCACAGCCTCAGTGCGTCAACACAGACAAAATATGCCCTTTAAGATGTGACAAGCTCCCAACCGACCCTGAATGTGTGCGGGATTTGCTGCTCCACCTGGATCCATACAAGTCCATGGGTCCGGATGGGATCCATCCCAGAGTGCTTAAAAAGCTGGCTGATGTCATCACGGGACCTCTCTCAATTATTTTTCAACAGTTTTGGGAATCTGGAGAGATTTAGGCTGGACATCAGGATGAGGTTCTTCACCAAGAGGGTGGTCACGCCCTGGAACAGGCTCCCCAGGGAAGTAGTCACTGCACCAAGCCTGTCAGAATTTAAGAAGCGATGGGACTGTGCTCTTAGTCATACGGTCTGAGTTTTGGGTAGACCTGTGTGGTGCCAGGAGTTGGACTTGATGATCCTTATGGGTCCCTTCCAACTCGGGGTATTCTATGATTCTATGATTAAATCTTTATTAATTTTGACAGTCTCTTTGCATGTTTAAACATCAGAAATTGCAAACCACCTAGTTCTGGTTCACAAGAATGTGAGCTTCCCTGACAGCTGAGTTGAAAGCCCAAGCTATTCTGCCAGTAGATGATTTCACACCCTGCCTGCCTGCACAAAGACAGCTTGGCCTGGTGCATCTGGCATACCACGGGGGAATGCTAGCCATGCCAGGTAGCCACATCTAGGTAAGTGTTTAGTTTCTTCCAGCTCCTGTGCTCATTCCGTTACCGAAGAAAATTCACAATGTCACAGGGGCCTGGCCATATCTTATCCCATGAACTGAATAAAGTGCCACTCCTGGCACCACTTGGAGAAAGGTATGAGTAGGAACTTGTACAGGAAGACCACTTTAAGCATTTAAAAGCAGACACGGCTCTGCATTCCCACGCTTAGGTTCTCTATTGTCATACTGCATTTCAGGTAACTTAGTTCACTATCTGTTTCCTTGCTGATAGCAATGTAGGGACAGCTTCTTCCAACACTTCTTAAGTTTGGAGTACCCATCTGCCACCTGTTGGGGGTGGGTCTTGTCCTCATCTCTCTGAAGGGTCTCATGAATGTCAGCACTTTTCTCACATTAGTTTAAGACAATGGACTATGTCAGAGTGCCTTATGAAGTACTGTGAACGAGAGAGGGCCTTAGAATCATACCACAGAACGGCTTGGGTTGAAAGGGACCATAAAGACTATCCAATTCAAAAGCCCCCTGCCATAGGCGGGGATGCCACCCACTAGATCAGGCTGCTCAGGGCCTTGTCCAACCTGGTTGTGAACACCTCCAGGCATGGGGCATCCACAGGTTCCTTCTCTGGCCAACCTGTTCCAGTGCCTCACATTGCTTACAGTGATGAATTTCCTCCTAACCCCTAATCTAAGTCTCCCCTCTCTTAGTTTAAAAAAAGGGTCCTCTTTTCCATCCTTTTTAAAAATGGGAGTGATGTTTCCCTTTTCCTGTCACCAGCTACTTCACCTGACTGCCAAGACTTTTCAGGTAGGAGGGAGAGAGGCTTGCGACGACATCAGCCATTTCCCTCAGGACCCTGAGATGCACGTCATCAGGCCCAACAGACTTCATCGAATCATAGGATCTTAGAATGTTTGAGTTAGAAGGGACCCACAAGGATCAAGGCCCAACCCTGGCTCCCCAAAGAGCCACTCAAAATAATAATAAATAGTGAAATAATAATAATATAAGATCAGATCATGCACCTGAGAGCACTGTCCGAGCGCTTCTTCCATTCTGGCAGGCTTGGTGCTGTGACCACTTCCCTGGGGAGCTTGTTCCAGTGGTGACCACCCCTCTCGGTGAACACTGACATTCCCTCAGGTCTTGTTGCTGGTCACAGAGCAGAGACCAGTGCTTGCCTCTCCTCTCCCCTTGTGAGAAAGCTGCAGACCACAATGAGGTCTCCTCCTGTCTCCTCCAGGCTGAACAATCCAAGCGACTTCAACTGCTTCTCCTACGTCTTCCCCGCTAGACCCTTCTCCATCTTTATTGCCCTACTTTGGAGACTGTCCAAACAGTTTTACGTCTTTCTTCCTTATACTCTGGTGCCCAGAACTGCACACACCACTTGAGGTGAGGCTGCACCAGCGCAGAGCAGACTGGGACAATCCCCTCCCTTGGGCCAGCTAGCGAATGCCGTGCTTGATGCACCCCAGGGTATGGTTGGCCCTCCTGGCCACCAAGGCACACTGCTGGCTCACGTTCAGCTTGCTGTCAACCAAAAACCCCAGATCACTTTCTGCAGGGCTGCTCTCCAGCCTCTCATCCCCCACTCTTTATAAATAGCCAGGGTTGCCCCTTCCCAGGTGCAGAATCTGGCACGTGCTCTTGTTAAACTTCGTACTGTTGGTGACTGTCCAGCTCTCTTCATTTGTCCAGATCTCTCTCCAAGGCCTCACCACCCTTGACGGAGTCAACAGCTCCATCCAGTTGGAATCATTTGTGAACTTGCTCAAAAATCCTTCAAGCCCTTCATCCAGATTGTTTATGAAAACACTGAAGAGGACCGGTCTATAAATGGAGCCCTGGGGAACCCCGCTAGTGATAGATCACCAGCCTGATGTAACCCCATTTACAAGAGCCCTCTGGGTCTCACCTGTCAGCCAATTGTTCACCCATCTTACTGTGATTTTATCTAACTGCTTTCTGGTCATTTTGTCCAGACAAGTTTCTGCGAGACAGTATCGAATGCTTTAGTGAAATCCAGAGAGACTACAACAGCTGGCTTCCTTGGGTCAGATAGCTGGACTTTTCAAATAGGATGGAGAGAGGCTTGGCATCTGCATCAGCCTGTTCTCTCAGGGACCTTGGGATGCACACCATGAACCCCCCCAGACTTGTACCTGTTCAGTCTGATCAGGTGGTATCAATCCTTCTTTTGCTTACTATGGGAGTGACTTTGTTCCCCCTGGGAGACGTTATAAATCAATCAGTACCAGAGTTGTTCATTAATTGATAGGACTGCTCTTCCATTTATTTTAATCAACTTTCTGAATTGGATTCATTAACACCTGATTTCTCATACAGACAGGTTCAGTAATATTAACAGCTATGTGGCAATTTAGAGGCAGATGCATAACAAAGCAACGTCCTGGCACTTTATACAAAAAGAAGATGGAGGTGGGTTTTTGTTGTTGTTGTTTTAAACAGTACCAGAAGTATTCCATCATAACATACTTGCTTCCGTAGTACAGAGTACTCTGCGACCAGAAGTCAGCTGCAGGAGAAACAGACATCTTCCCCACACTCCCAGCCAAGCTATCACTTTCAGGTCAGATATGCTTCAATGTCCATTTTTAAACACCATTTAGGACTGCATGCCTGTCTCTCGCACAGCGTTTAATTAACACGAAAGGGAAAGCAGCTACAGTTCATTTCACGTCTGCAGAAGCCGCGTCTTCTTTGCGCTCGCACGCTGTTCATACACTGTCCAGCTTCTTCAGGATGACAGGAGCTGAAAAGAGAACACAGAAGGAGCATCACCGAGCCTGCCGCCAAGCTGCAGCGCACCTCGCCTACCCAGACGGGCTGCGCCTCCGCCACCCAGCTCCCTCCCCCCGCCGCGCCGCCGCTGCTCTGCCCGCCGAGGCCCCGCCCGCCCGGCCCCGCCGCAGCGCGCAGCCCGCCAGCAGCAAGGCCCGGCCCGGCCCGGCCCGGCCCGGCGCGGTGCCGCGCACTCACTGATCCGCAGCAGCGCCACGTAGATGAGGAAGTTGCGCACGGAGGCGAGGACGTCGCGGCGCATCTTCCGCCGCAGCTCCTCCGGGTCCATCTTGGGCCCCAGCCCCTCGATGCGGAACATGCCGCCGGCCCCGCGCCGCTACGGCTGCCGAGCAGGGACAGGCGGCGGCGGGCAGCGGGGCGGGCTCCGAGCATGCGCACGGAGGGCGGCGGCGTTCCCGGCCCCCCGCGGCGGGGCCTCTTGGGGGCGGGGGGCTGTGGGGCTCGTTGCGTCCCTGCCGCCTGGGGAAGCTGCTGCCCTTGGGTGCTCCCACAGAGCCCTGACTTTGGCAGAGGATGGCCGAGGAGGAGCCTTCCCAAAGCGCCCTGCTCCGAACTGGGACTTTTCCCAGCTTGCAGCCCCTAGTCCGAAGGAATGGGCAGCCCTTCCTCGTTACCACAGCTGAAAGGCTGTCCTCCCAAGAGTTCTAGCGCAAGGCCCTAAACGAAAGTACACCAGATCTCATCATCTGCGATCTCAAGCACTTCTGTGGGGGGAAAGGAACTTGAGGAGACGCCTGCATCCTCCTTGATGAAGATGCTTTGTGAGGTGGCCCTGCACACGCTGTTCTGGGTGTTTCTCCAGGGCTGCTCCAACATCCAGGAGATGGCTCCTCAGCCACCTGAAAGGACAGCACACCTTCCCTTTAGGCAAGGCAACAATAGCTTTCTCTGGCCCCTTGAGCACCTGCTAAGAAGATACAGAGAAGTACCAGAAACCTTCGCTGCTGCAGTCAGATCAGGATGTTCATCACTGATGCATACCAAAGAGGTTTCAGAGACCCAGGGGAAGACTTGCAGAAGCACAAAGGGGAGGCAAAGTAGATAATGGTGGAGCCTTGGTGCTACCTACTACGTTGACCCTTTCGCCCCATCAAAAGGATCAATATTGATCATACACTAATGGCAGTGTTTACCTTTGTGAAAGCAAAAAGAATTTGTCTGTCTTCATCTGGCCAATAAATTTCAGCTCTGTGATCTCTCTGTATGGGCTCCGTACAGTCAGTCAGACTGTGCAAAGATGCATTTTCTGGGTTTCATTAAGCCAGCCTGAAAACAAATGAATGTCAGTGCTATTTCAGGTTGAAGGGACGGTTCCCATCCACTCTACTGACGCCTCCCCAGCTTCTCAGGCTTGGTTTATGGCCACGCCACCCCTCCATGTATGTTTTGAGTCTAGGACTGATGCATATACAACGGGCTTACGTGGCAATGTTTTGGTAGTGGGAGAGGCTGCGGGGTTGGCATGGATGAGCAAAGCCCAGCAGCTGCCCCATGTCAGATCAGAGCCAGCTCCAGCCAGCTCCAAAATAGACCTGCCGCTGGCCAGAGCCGAGCCAGTGAGTGATGCCGGTTGTGCCTCTGGGAGGTGTTTAAGAAGAGTTTAAAAAAAAAAAAATGCTGCATTGTAGCAGCTGGAAGAAGGGACTGAGAAACTGAGAGAGAAGAAACCCTGCAGCCACCAAGATCAGTGTAGAAGGAAGGAAGGAGGTGCTCCAGACACCCTGCAGAGAATGAGCTGCAGCCTGTGGAGAGGAGACCACACAGGAGCTGGGGATCTGGGGGTAGTTGCTGCCCACGGAGACCCATGTTGCAGCATTTTGCTCCTGAGGGATGGACCCCATGATACAGACCCATATTGGAGATGTTCCTGAAGAGCTCCCACTTCCTGTGGGAAGCCCACGTAGGATCAATTTGGGAAGGATGGCATCCCATGGGAGGGACCCCACATGGCGCATGGGCAGAGAGTGACCGTGAAGTATGTGACTGGTGCTCCCTGCTCCTGATCCCTGGCAGTATGGTGAGCATGACGAAGAATATGTGAAATATCCATAATATTCTAGAAAACAGGTCTTATGTGGAGTGGCTAAGGGAGCTGGCATTGTTTAGCCTGGAGAAGGGGATGCCCAGGGGAGACCTTAGTGTACTTCACAGTTACCTTAAAGGAGGCTATGGCGAGGCGGGGATCGAGCTCTTCTCCCAAGCACCAAGTGGTGAGACAAGGGGAAATGGCCTCAAGTTGTGCCAGGGAAGGTCTAGGTTGGATATTAGGAATTCCTTCACTGAAAGGCTTATGCAGCATTGGAACAGGCTGCCCAGGGAAGCGGTTGAGTCACCATCCCTGGAGGTCTTCACGAAATGTGTAGATGTAGAACTTAGTAGCACACGTCAGCATGGGTTCTGGTTCAGGGAAGCGTAACAGCACCAGGAGCACTGTCTGCCAGCAGGCTACCAGCCCTAAGGGGGTCTTAAACTGGAGCTGCTGCTGGGTGGCAAAACCTGTGGTCCCTCAGTGGGCAGGGGCACCTCCGCTGTTGTCTTCTTCCTCTGAGCAGTGACTGAGTGACTCCTGTTCTTCTATGTAAATCCCGAGTCTAGGTTATGCTTGTATCTTGCACCGGTTGATAAGATTTTGACCCAATCTGCAGGGGTCCAGGTGACTGAAAAACCTGTGTAACTAGTAATTCTACTGTAGTTCTAGAAATTCTGTGCAGCTATCAGCTATGCTAGGTGCTGGAAATTGTAGATAATAAAATATGTTGATTGTTAATCTCTTTTTATATATATATTTATAATTATAACCACAAACCTGTGGCCAGTCCTCATTCTGCCAAAGGTCCCTGAAGAACCTGCCCGTCCTCTGTAGTGTTGGGTGGAGAGCAGCGAAATATTCTGGACTGACCACAACCTCCATTCCCCATTCCTCTGCACTGCTTGGGCAGAGAGGTAAAAGAGAGTGGGTGATGGGAAGGTGGGTTTAGGTTGCTTTTAGTTCTCACTGCTCTAGTCTGTTAGTAATCGGCAATAAATTAAATGAGTCTTCCCCAAGCTGAGTCCGTTCTGCACATGACAGTAATGAGTGAGCAATCTCCCTGTCCTTATCTCAACCCACTTTTTTTTTTTTTTATATTATATCATATTTTCTCCCTCTGTTCTTCTGAGAAGGGGGAGTGAGAGAGTGGCTGTGTGGTTATTAGCTACCCACCGTGTTAAACTACAGCATGTATCTTCTGCAGACAATACTGCCCAGGCACATGGGAAGACGCAGGTATCTAAGCCAGCTGTGGCAGACCCTCCCAGACAGGATGGCACTGGCAGAATTGCCTCTGAGGCTTGGTCTGCCATGTCATTGTGCAAGCTGTTTTCTTTTGGGCCAGTCAATATTGGATAGCTTTCTTATTAATTGCATTTGTTTTCCATGGAAGATGACAATGGCTATTATGTAGGGATTCTGCGAGTTTCTGGCCAGTGTATCTACTCAAATGGTGCACATGTAAATCCAGACATTGTACATGGTGTGTCAGGGGCAGCTGTACAGCAACATCAGTGTCCAGTCAGTGTTCACAGCAGTCATACCATCCAGGGCTATCGTAACAGACACCCAGAGGGGGCACAGTGTTCCCTCTGTTTAGTCCCTCTCTTCATATCTGCAGCAGGTAAAACCATCCCCAGGTCACTGAAGAGACAAAGTCTGCAAGACAGGCATCTAACTATGCACAGTTAAAGCTCTGCTTCTGAGTTCACCAGACTGGAAATCTTGTCCTTTCAACTAATTCCAGCCAGAAGCTCTGCCATGGATTGCAGCTCATGTCTGCTTCTTAGGTCCAGGAGAGTCAGCAGAGCCAAGCAGGGTTCTTTTGGTGACTGTACAAGGGGGGAAGATGTTCTGGCCAGATAACTGCATTGAATGACAGAGACCAAAATGGAAATTACATTACTCTTTTGAATGCTCTGCTGTAGTAGTGCTGTCAACTCCTAATCTGAAGGGGAAGCAGAATGGTAAGGAGCTTAATCGGAGAAAGAGACTTAAAATACTATCTTGCAGTGACCTCTGTTAGGCGTAAGGAAGGAGACTGCATAGATTCTCATGCAGGAGTACATTCAACATGGTACTCCTGGAGAAAGTGGAATCCTTAGGTGACATTAGGACCGTGGGAGAGATGTTATTTTCCTG